AAGAGGAGATTGCTTTTCCAGCATGGTTGTCGAAGATTCCCAACTCTGAGTCTACTCTAAGATGAGAGCTTATACTTGGGTCAAAATGAGGGCTTACTAAAAATAAATAATAATCATAATCATAATAAGGGATTACTTTCTAATGTCAAACCTATGAATAGAATTTGGGGTTATCTACTTCAAATTCAAGTACTTGCTGAGTGTGCAAAGTGAGAGATCTTGATAGTTTTCTCTGACCTTTCACCTTTCACTCTTTGTTTTTCATTCCACTCCAACTTTGTGATCAAAGTAAACAGTAAATTTATCATTACACTGTGTGTGTGTTTGTGTGCTAGTTCTGGGGGTGAACTCAGAGCCCAGGTGTTGTCCCTGAGCACTCTACCATTTGAGCCATAGTTCTATTTCCAGATTTCAGATTTCTGAATTGGATATGAGTCTCACAGACTTCCTGACAAGCTGGCTGTGAACCACAATCTTCGGATCTCAGCCTCCTGAGCATCTAGGACTACAAGCATGAGGGGGGGGGGGAGGCGGGAGGGATGGTGGTGTGTTGATTGTGGGACTTGAAATCAGGACTTGGGCATTGTTTCTAAGCTTCTTTGCTGAAGGATAGTGCTACCACTTAGCTACAGTTCCATTTCTGGTGTTTCACTGGTTAGTTAAAAATAAGAGGCACCAGGTGCCAGTGGTTCACGCCTGTAATCCTAGCTACTCAGGATGCTGAGATCTGAAGATCAATGAGAGTCTGTGAGACTCTTATCTGCAATTAACTACCAGAAAACCAGAAGTGGCACTGTGGCTCAAGTGGTAGAGTGCTTGCCTTGAGCTAAAGAGCTGAGGGACAGTGCCCAAGGCCCAGAGTTCAGGCCCCATGACGAACAACAACAACAAAAAAGAGTCTCTTAGGGGCTGGGAAGGTGGCTCAGTGGTAGAGTGCTTGCCTTGCATGCATGAGGCCCTGGGTTTGATTCCTCAGTACCACATAAGCAAAAAGAAAAAAGCCAGAAGTGGCGCTGTGGCTCAAGTGGTAGAGCACTAGCCTTGAGCTGAAGAGCTGAGGGACAGCGCCCAGGCCTAGAGTTCAGGCCCCTTTGACTGGACACCAAAAAAAAAAAAGTCTCTCAGATTTGTCTGCCCAGGCTGGCTTTGAACCAGGATCCTTAGGTCTCTACTTCCTGAGTAGCCAGGATTACAAGTGTGAACCAACAGCACCCAGCAAGGTTAAAATTTATCTATTCAAATATTATAAAGTATGGTAATTATGGATGTCAACATCAGATTATCTCTAAGATAATGAGACTGGGGGAGGAAATGGGAGAATTTCAGATCTGCTTTGCAGATTTTGTTTCCTCTAGGATTAAAGGTGCTTAAAGGAAGCTGTTGATCAATAGGGGGCTGGAGGAGAGAGGAAACAGAAATAGGGTCTGCTATACTAGTAAATACTAGTACAAAGAGGAGGTTCAGCTAATGGGGGTTAAAGAGGATGAATACAGTGAAAACATTGTTCACATATATGAAAACAGAACAATGAACCGTGTTGAAATTGTATTAGGAAGGGGAGAGGAGATAAGGGAGAGTGATGGGGGAGTTGATTGCAATATACTGTATACATGTGTGTAAATGAAATTTCCCCATGTACAGCTAATATATACTAATAGAAAATGAAAAAAAGATTAAAGCTACTAATCTGAAATAAACATGTTAATGTTTACACAGGTTTGTCCTGGATTTTGGGTATGTGATGTTTCATGATTATTTCACCTTAATTTTCATTAAAAAATCTCTCAATCAGCAATTGAGATTTTAAAAAGGGCAATGAATTCAGTAACAATTTCACCTGTCACTCATATTTATTTTCTATTACATTTGCAATGCAATGTTTTATTTAACCAAGTCCATTGCTTTGGGTATCTAATTTATGTGATGATCATTCAAAGCACCACTGTAGCTTGTTAGAGGAGTAACTCTAAAGTGATGCCTTGGGGGTGGGATTTTGCTGAAGGCAAAACAATGCTTTATACCTTTATAGCCTCATAAAATACACTTACTAATGAATCAAAGAGGAAATTAAGGGCAGTATATAAAACCCAAATTCAGACTAGTAAAATGGGATTTTTTTTTGGAGATTTTCAAGGAATGATAGTAAATCTTTTTAGAATTGCAGCAAAAAGCAAAATGCCATGTGGTATTTAATAACCAAAACCCAGCCTTGATATCTATTCCTCCCAGGGAGACTTCTGCTGTTTGCATTAAAAAAAAAAAAAAAAAAGTGGCAGAGGCCAAAAAAAAAAAAATCAAAGACAAATCAAGGAAGCTGATAATTGCTTTAAAGATGAATGTTTTGCATACTGAGACAAAAGATATTATGGGTAGCTTACTGCTCACTCAAATGATTAAAAAAGAAAACATGATGAGTGTTTTTGACACTTTGTTTTGAAGGACTACAAAATCATATTGTAATAAGAACATAGTTTTGAAAATGATTCTGGTTTTTCACAACATCATTTATACTTTGAATATCTAACTAATATAAGATCATGTTTTATCATTTATTCACATTCTTAACCATGTTTTCAGTGCTTTGGTTAGAACCACTAACACTTTATGTTTTGCTGGCATGGGTATCTGACAGATTACTTTTTATCACTACTGATGGTTAACTATTCAGAAACTTGTTTAGACTGTGAGTCTCATAAAAAATAACTTAAGAGTTGTGCATTATTCAATTTCTATAGTACTCTCTTCATCAAAGATGATCTTAAACATCTACAGTATTATCAAAATGTAAACTTGGGACTACACTGTGCTCTGTAAAGAATCAAAGTCAAGCTGGGCACCAGTGGTTCATACCTATAATCCTAGCTGCTCAGGAGGATGAGATTCAAAGCCAACCCAGGCAACAAAGTCCATGGGAATCTTATCTCCAACTAAGCACCAAATAAGCCATAAGTGGAGCTGTGGTTCAATTGGTAGAGCCCTAGCCTTGAGAACAAAAACTCAGGGACAGCACCTAGGCCCTGAGTTCATGCCCCAGGACCTGCAGGAAAAAGAAAAAAAATCAAAGTCAACTGCATTAGGCATCTGTCTTTACCAAAAGCATATGCTAATGGCTTGCTGGAACAGAGCAAACCCAAACTGGAAAGGCTTTGTTATGATGCAGAAATATCACTAAGGGGCCAGTATGGCCAATATCATTTCTAACGCAAATTAAATAACTAAGATACATAGTTTTGTTTTGGTCAGTTCTGGGGCAGGAACTTGGGGCCTAGGCACTGTCTCTGAGTCTTTTTGTGCTCAAAACTAGTGTTCTAACCCCTTGAACCACAGCATTACTTCTGGGCTTTTTGAGTAATTCATTAGAGATAAGAGTCTCATGGAGTTTACTCCTGCCCAGGCTGGCTTCCAACCGTGATCCTCAGATCTCAGTCTCCTGAGTAGCTAGGCTTATAGGTATGAGCCACCAGAGCCTGGCTAAAACATAGTTTTTAATCTTTCTTTGAAGGAGGTACCAAAGCAGGTAGGAAAAAGAAATCAAGATAGAAAGTAAAAATGAGGAGGGAGGAAAAGTGGGGGAAAAAAGGGAGGGTAACACTTCAAGAAAAGTACTCATTACTTATGTAAGTGCAATCCCTCTGTATATCACTTTTTACAATAAAATTAAAAAAATTTAAATTTTATTTAAAGGGCTTGGAATGGGCTTAGTGGTAGAGTGCTTGCCTAGCATTCATGAAGCCCTGGGGTCAATTCCTCAGTACCACATAAGCAGAAAAAGCCAGAAGTGGAACTGTGGTTCAGTGCTAGCCTTGAGCCCAGAGAGGCTCAAAGTCAGTGCCCAGGCCCTGAGTTCAAGCTCCAGGACCAGCAAAAAAAAAAAAAAAAAAAGAAAGTAAAAACTATCTGGATTTACTTCTTATACCCACTACATGATTCTGGTCATGTTACTCTACGAAACTTGAACGAAAGTCATACTGGGTCAATGTAAACATGCAAGTGAAAAATAACAAGGCTTAAACACCTAGCAGGCTTCCAATAAATACTAATTTCTTTTCCTTAGAGTATTGCAAGAATGAGTCTTCAGTTCTAACTTGAAAATTCTTAAGCCGGTTGCTGATGGCTCACGCCTATAATCCTAGCAACTCAGGAGGCTGAGATCTGAGAATCAGGGTTCAAAACCGGCCCAGGCAGGAAAGTCCATGAGGCTCTTATCTCCAATAAACCACCAGAAAACCGGAAGTGGCACGGTGGCTCAAGTGATAGAGAGCTAGCCCTTAGCTGAAAAGCTCAGGACAGCATGACCCAGAGTTCAAGCCCCATGACCAACAAAACAAACAAACAAATAAAAATTCTTAAAGTGAACTATGCTGTACCAGGGGCTTAGTCTACCATGGATCATTTCTGTGTTTACCATGCTAGATCTCTGATCTGTATCCTGGGGTTTCCTAAATTAAGTAAGCACAAAGTCAATGGAAGTCTAAAATATTATCAAGGCTTCTAAGCACTTAAAGTGACCAGAAAACAATGAGCTTCATTTCTAAAAATCTCTCTAATTGCTATTGGTAGTTAACTAAGTACATAGATTCAGATTCCTTATAATCAAATTCCAACTATGGCTTAAATGACACATTTATGTTCCTTTCTAGCTTCCTGTTATCTAGGAAGATTAATTACAGGCCCACTGGGCATCATTCCTTGAAATGTACAAACTGTAACCACACAAGGTACTACCACTGTTTATCAACACTTCTTTATCTTAATACAAGCCAACAAGACAGCTCAAGAGTAGGAAACATAATCGGCTTTGAGGTTGCTATTAGCCATTGGGAACCCTGGGTGGGCACCCTAACTTCTCTGAACTTCAGTTTCTACATCTGTAAAATGTGGACAATAGTCTATTTCTCATGCAATTATTGAAATGAAATGAAATAATGTCATTCAAACTACTGCTATCTTAAAATAAAAGGAAGGCTAAAGAGAAAATGGAGAAAAAAATAAATACAGACCATGTTTACTGCATCTTGATCAAATGGGTTCCATTCTATGTTCTGAGGATAGTGCGCCAAAACTTTGGATTTGAATGTTCTTCTCAAAGGACTCTGGTCAAAATTTTCACCTACAACAAATAATAATTGATAAATAACTGACTTCCTCAGTACTATCTCCATTGTTTTATAATTATTTGTGTATATAGATATATATTTATAGAAATACATTTGCTGACTTTGCTGAAATGCAAATTAAGTTTCTAACTCTGCTAAGAGTTGTCTAGTGGACAACTAGAAAACAAGTAAAATAAGAAATTTTCACTTAACAGTTTATACTCTGAATTTTTAAGTCTTAGCTATACAATCAACATTAAACATCAAAACATGGTAATATAATCACTGTGATCATGTAATTACCATAATCATTTTAACTAAAGAAACATTGATGGAACCTCTTCATAGACTGATAAAGTTTAATATACAGACCCAATGCTTCAGTCACAGAAAAGGCAGTTTTATTCGTGTTACAACAAAAATCTCTGGTACATATGGCTTAATATCCAGGCTACTCATTAACGGGACAAGATTATGAATATCACTGCTAAGTTTGCCAGTAGACAGACATATTAGATAAACTTCCTAAAAGAAATGAGCTAACCAAATTCATTATCTGTCAAAAGTTCTGAAAAGATAAAAATGTACACTGTTTTACATAAGAAAATTCAGTAACAGCTATCAGATCAGTTCTTTATCTTCTTAGTCAAATGAATTCCATTATTAATTCTGTTATTTCCAAATGCCTCAGTTTCAGAAAACATTTTCATGTGGATGATCTTAAATTTCTAATGTCAAAAAGTTGATAGCAGGCACCAATGGCTCACACCTATAATCCTAACTACTCAGGAGGCTGAGATCTGAGGATCACAGTTCAAAGCCAGCCCAGGTAGGAAAGTTTGTGACACTCTTATCTCCAATTAACCACCAGAAAACCAGAAGTGACACTGTTGCTCAAGTGATAGAGTGCTTGCCTTGAGCTGAAGAGCTGAGGGGCAGCACCCAGGCCCAGAGTTCAAGCCCCATGACTGACCAAAAAAAAAAAAAAAAAAAAAGCTGAGATCAAGGAATTGGAAGACCTTGAAGTAATTTCAATCTGTGTCCTGCATTTTTCTATTTTTCTAAATTGGAATAAAGTGTAAACTACTAATTTATAGCAAAATATAAATGTAATTTACCAGTACTTGCACAATTAAGAACACCACAAAGCCATCTAACTTGTAAGTGATATGCTGACATCTTGTTAAACTCAGTTTCCATTTTGGGAAAAATATGAAGACAGATACTAAAACACCTTTAAGTGAGTACAAAACTTAACAGATAACAGGAGGGAAAAGTCACACTTGAAAATCTTGTTGGAGACTGCAGTATGAAATAGAAGATTAAAAAAAATAAGGACACATAATTTAAATTTATTTGCTAAGGTAAAGAAACTACTGCTTCTAATGGAAGTCTGTGACTAATGATCATTTTCCTTGAGATTTTTCTGTTTCATTTAACCAAGGACCACATACATCATTGCTCTATCTTTTTTACTGCACAGTCCCATTTTTTTAAGACTTGAAAGCTTTTACTTCCATAAGAGAAAGTGCCGGCAGCATTCCTAAGGAGAGGGTACCATTTTCTGCAGTAGCTCTTAGGTTCCGTGAACATCAAAAGGTCAGTGGATAAATGGGAAATAGTGTGGCTGAGGACAGAGACAGTTTAGCACTGTGGACTTGTGGATAAATGACATCCCCAGGCTTATGCTAGATTTTCCCATAACACTAAGAAGGTTTAGATTATTTGTAAGAAAAAAAAAAAAGGTTACATTCTACTCACTGTGAGTTCAAGGGGAAAAAAAAAGAAAAAAACAATCTCCTGGTTCTGAGTGTGCGGGCAGTCTGAATATTTTTGGAAGCCTTGAACTATACATACCACTAATGACAGAAAATGCTTCTTATCATCCATAAATAGAAGAAAAATACCAAACACAATAGAAGGAGGTCATAACTGACACCAACCCAGGTTATTAATCCTTATAACACTTACCTTTCAATGAGTTTTTGCCTGTCTGATTTAAAATAGTAACATTATCTTCACTTATATGTCAAGGAATGAATGGGACAGAAGAGAAAACAGAGAAAGCATGACAGTTTCATTGTCACTGTAATTGTTCTGTTACATAAGGAACATCATACCTTTTTGAAGCACAATGAATCAATAAGAGAGAAAAAAGGAAATTACCTCCAGAAAGAATCTTACAAAACCAGAAAGCCTACAAAATACCAACAAGAGAAATAAACCACCACCATCACCAACTCCAGCAGCAGCAAGCACACCAGTACCACCACCATCTCTCATACTTAAAAAAGGGAGCACAAGGAAAGATCATTGTTATATATTCAGCTGTCTTGACAAATAATACTTTGAAGGAAATTAAGAATCTATACTTATGAATTCTGCTATCACTGGTAAGGACTGAGAAATGAGTAATACAGCTCAATCCTCAATAAGGGCTAGTACCAGCTAGCAAAGAGTCATGGAGATGTCTTTTAGGCAAAGCTAGAGAGGAACAACCTACTTCCATGTTGAATGCTAGGTTTATAAAATTGTAGCTTAAAATTTACTGCCAGGAGTAAGCAAGAAAAATGACTATGTTTGGGAATTTAAATTTCCAGAAGTAGAAATTATACAACATTCCTTATTGAAATTTACCTTTTAGATACTGTCCTGAAACAAACAAGGACCAAACAAACTTGTACCAATCTTAATATCCTTGTGAGGCCCTGGGTTCAAGTCTCTACAATGCCAAAAAATTAGCTCCTTAATTAATATCCTTGCTGTAAATTAGACATAAACATAAATCCTGCTGGGTAACCTATAATCATAACCTACAGATTAAACCCTTCATCCTAAGAAAGTAGGAAACATATGTCAAGACAGCTGAAAGCCTAGCTAATATATTTTTTCAAGCCTGGAAGCAAATGAGTTCTTTATGCAAATTAGGGTGCAGATAACAGAACAGAATAAGTAACTGTAAGTTTGTCCAAGCAAAACAGAATAAAGCAACATTTCTAAACTGGTATGGAGTGAATGAAGATAATAATGACTTCTAGTACTAGTTCTTTTCTAACTTATTTTTACCTGAAGTCGTATTTGCAGCATCTTGGCTCTTGCCATGGCGATCTGCTTCTAGCCATTGGTACAAAACTACATGATGTAACAGAAACAAAAAGCTTTATGAACAAAGAAACAAAAACAAACATGAAAAAGCAAAATGGCTGTGAAGAATGGAAAATGAGAATATAAAAATTAAGCAAAAGCAATTCAACATGAGACCAGGAGACATTCACTTCAAGATCACTGTAATATAGCTTATAAACTACAAGTAGTAAAAGAAAGCAAAGAGAATGAGTCATTTTTAACACAGTAAGTGAAATGCCGCTTTAACATCTGTAATAGGTATCTGTGTGGGAAAAAGCACACCTATATTAAAGCTAATTTCAAAAAAAAATCAAGAGAAAGTTAGTGTCTCTGTGAGATATAATGAAGTATGACAGTAAGAATAAATGACTAGGGAGGGATGGGAAGGTGGCTTAGTGGCAGAGTGCTTGCCTGGCATGCATGAAGCCCTGGGTTCAACTCTTCAGTCATAAACAGAAAAAGACAGAAGTGGTACTATGGTTCAAGGGGTAGAGCTATCGCTGAGCAAAAGCAGCTCAGGGACATTGTCCAGGTCCTGAGTTTTAGCCCCAGGACTGGTTAAAAAAAAAAAAAAGAATAAATGACTAACTTTAAGAAACGTATTCAGGCCAGGTATGGTGGCTCACATCTGTAATTACAGTTACTCAGAAGCACCGAGAGGACTATAGTTCAAGACCAGGCAAAAACAACAAGGGGGGGGGGGGGGTTGGGGGGGAAGGGATGTGAAGGGTAAACAAAGGAGGAGGCTGCAATGCTTGATAAGAAATGTACTCATTATCTTGCCCATGTAATTGTAACCCCTCTCTACAGTATGTTCACAAAAAATTAAAATTAAGAAACAACAACAACAACAAAACTTCACTTAGTAATCTGAGCATGGTGGTACATGCTTGTAATCCCAGCTATGTAGGAGAACCATGGTCTGAAGCTGGTCCTGGTTAGTAATTCAGGACCCTAACTGAAAAAAACTTAAGTGATAAAGAGCTGGGTTATGTGTGACTCAAATGGTAGAGCACCTACCTAGTGAGCATGAGACCCTAACGTCAAACTCTAGAACTGCTCTCCCACCAAAAAAAAAAAAAAAAAAAGAAGGAAGGAAGGAAGGGAGGCAGGGAGGGAGGCAGGGAAGGAGGCAGGGAGGGAGGGGGCGGGCAATTGTATCCCAACCACTGCACACCTATTATTGTTTAAGTCCAAAAACCTAAATGTGCCAAATGCTGACAAGGATGTGGAATGAGAAGGAATCCCATTCATTGTTGACAGAAATGCAAAATGTGAGGGCCACTTTGAAAGACAGTTTGGCAAATTTTTATAAGGGTAAACACAATCTTGATACACATAATCCCATAATTTCAGTCTATTATGAGTAAAACACCAAATTCCAAGAGGGACAACCTATAGGTTCTCATCAAAACTGTGAAAGACATGGAAAACAACAAAAGTCTGAGCAACTGTCACAATCAAGACAGCTAGGACAATAACTAGAGAGATAAAATTTTTGAATATAATACTGTATATTAGATTCAATCCTCCAAGAGAGAAAGGACATTAGGTAAGACTAAGAAAATCTAAATGAGATACATTGAGTTAACATTAATGCATCAATACTGTACCACACTACTACAAAACATCAATAATTGGTAAACTACATGTGATTAATTATCTCTTTTTCTGTAAATATAAAACTACTATAGAAGAACAGATATGTATACTGAAAAAGCTACATTTCAAAGTTGGATATGAGAGTGAATCTAATTGGCAGTCCCTGCTACGAATTTCCAATACAATGAGACCTCATCACTAAAAACAACAACAAACCTCCACCTATATCTGAATATTCAAGATAACTTCACACATTATATCAAATCGTATAATCAGCATTTCATAAATATATGAATTTTTTTAGTCTAATACCAGAACTTGACTCAAACTTGGAATCTGATGCTTTCATTTACTGGCTGGTGGTCTAGTACCTAAGCCATACATCTAACACCTCATAAATAATTTTGTACAAACATAAGGGTGGGCATGGGGGTATTATGCCTGTAATCCTAGCACTTGGGAAGCTGAGGCAGGAAAATCTCAAGTTTGTGGCCAGCCTAGGATACATAGCAAGACTGCCTCAAATCAGAACAAAACTAAAGCCAGGTGCCAGTGCCTTAGGCCTATAATCCTAGAGACTCAGGGAGCTGAGATCTAGGAATTGGGGTAATGAGCCAGCTATGGCAGACATATCTAAAAGACTCATCTCTGACATTAACCAGCAAAAAGCCAAAAGAAGAGATGTGGCTCAAGCCGTAGTACAGGCTTTGAGAGAAAAACCAAGCAAGAACACAAGGCTTGAGTTCAAGCCCAATACTTTACTCAAAGTTGCCACTCTACCACTTGAGCCACACCTCCACATCCAGTTTTTTACTGCCTGCTGTAGCTCCTAACCAGAATCCTCAAATCCTCTTGAGTAACTAAGGTGAGAGGTTTGAGCCACCAATGCCCAGCCTAAATTAAACTTTTAGTTAACTAGTTCAGTTCCTTTCTTGCATCAGCCACATTTCTGGTTGCTACCATATTACACACAGAGAATAGAGTATTTTCATCACAACAAAAAGTTCTATGGGCAATGGTAATTTAGAAGCTTGAGTAGATTTGGGTATTTATTTATTTATTCTTTCTTTTGGAGAAGGCAAGACTGCTTCCTAAACAGGGCTGTGTGCCCCCATTAGAAGTCACATGTCCAGGATTCCATTTAATTACCTAGACTCATTTTTTTGAATATGCAGGCCAGATAAATGTTTCTTTTTTGTCAATGACTCCTTATTTCACTGAAGGTGAAATAAGGTGGGATCTTGTTCCTTTACAGCCAGATCACTGGTGGTCCAAATATACTTAATCACTTTCCTCACTGGTAAGAGAAAAAGAATCTCTCCCACATGGGAATAACATCTTGATTCTAACAAAAAGACATCTCTGTATCTGAGGAAGAATGAATCCTGTACAGGTTTTTCCAAATGACCGCCTGGTCCTAGGAACAATGAATGCAGTCACAGAAACATTTCCTTAAACTCATTGTTATTTTTCCACTTATGATTTTCTTTTGTTTTCTCTAAAATTTGGCAATGTGTTACTATTCTCAGCTATAAGAGTAAAGAGAGGCCAGTGAGTAAAATAGAAGCTGTATTCCCAAAGTCAAGCATAGTGAGGACAGCAGATTGGTGAGATCTCAAGCAGAGGGCTGGGGAGGTGGCTCAGTGGTAGAGCGCTTGCCTTGCATGCATGAGGCCCTGGGTTCTATTCCTCAGCACCACATAAGCAGAAAGAAAAAAGCTGGAAGTGGCACTGTGGCTCAAGTGGTAGAGCACTAACCTAGAGCTGAGGGACAATGCCCAGGCCCAGAGTTCAGGTCCCACGACCAGACCCCCCCCCAAAAAAGGAGAGAGATCTCAAGCAGAGGGGAGCTTAGCAACAACATTATTATAGGTAGAGCTGGGTGCTGGTGGCTCATGCCTATAACCCTAACTACTGAAGAAGCTGAGATCTAAGGATCAAAACCAGCACAAATAGAAAAGTTGTGATACTCTTATCTCCAATTAACCAGCAGAAATCTGGGAGCAGAGCTGTGGCTCACGTGGTAGAGCACCAGCCTTGATCCAAAAACCTAAGGGAGAGCATCCTAGTCCTGAGTTCAAGCCCCAGTACTGGCATATAAGCACACACATATGCACACACAGGAAAGGAAGGAAGGGAGGGAGGGAGGGAGGGGAAAAAGAAAGAGGGAGGAAGGGAGGGAGAGAGGAGAGAGAACGAAAGAAAGGAAGGAAGAAAGAAAAAGAAAGAGAATGGAAAGAGAGAGAACAGAAAGAGAGAAAGGAAAGAGAGAGGGGGGGCAGGTGGGTGGGCAGGCAGGCAAAAAGGGGGAGGCAGGCAGTTATTAAGAATGCTTGTTTGTCAGCCACCTCTATAGATTTCCTCTTCTACTGTTCCCTACGCATATTTCATTTCCATAGTATTCTATCTTTGCTTATATCTTCTTATTCCATCTATACATGCTAGCTTCTGCTAATACTCATATCATGACTTTTCAAATATACTTATTTCCACCCTGATTCTCTTCAGGCCAGCATTTCCACTGCCTATTGGAAACCTCTACCACAAGCTCCAAATCTCCAAATATCTAAAAGTGAATCACTCCTATATCTCCTAGACTATTTCTTTTTCCTCTGATCCTTGTGTCAATTAATGACACAAATGTGGGGCTTACTGGCCCTACTCTTGCACAAGGCTGAGGAAGGTACGTTAGAATGAACAATGTTCTCCTTTAGCATAAGAATCATGTTCTATGATAACGACGGCTTTCATCATGTGGAAAATGAATCTTAGTGTTCGGTTTCCAGAGCACAAATACATGATGACTCAGCCATATGTGATGCTTGCTGGGTAAGCTATTTATGCCTTTCTGTGTTTTCCAGGAAGGAAAATGGCAATGACAAGTGAATTTTTATGTCATAAAACAGTAAATATGCTGGGAGTTAGCTCAGTGGCAAAGCATTTGTCTGGGGTTCAATTCCTCAGTACACACACACACACAAAAAAAAAGACAGTAACTGGCTGAGAAAGTGGCTCAGTGGTAGAGTGCTTGCCTTGTATGCATGAGGCCTGGGTTCGATTCCTCAGCACCACATAAGCAGAAAATGCCGGAAGTGGTGCTGTGGCTCAAGTGGTAGAGCACTCGCCTAGAGCTGAAGAGCTGAGGGACAGCACCCAGGCCCAGAGGTCAGGCTCCATGACCAACCAAAAAAAATAAATAAACAGTAAGTATGATGACTTGATTATTTATTTGAGACAGGGTTCTTATCCAGGCTGGTCTCTAACTCCTGGTCTCAAGTGAGTCTCAGCTTTCTGAGCACAGGAACTAAAGGCATGTTCCACCATGCCCAGTTTCTATAAAGGTAAAATCCTTGTATCCATTTTTATCTCCCCCCTAAATGTTATAAAAATACTTTTCAAGAATA